GAAAAGAAAAGAAAAGAAAAGAAAAGAAAAGAAAAGAAAAGAAAAGAAAAGAAAAGAAAAGAAAAGAAACTTGGCTGTATTCATTTTACAGACATCTGATCTCAGGGGAAAGCATTCTCTATTTATTCTTAAAATACGTTGAGCATTTGATTCAGATGTTATGTCCTTCCATTTACCTTCGTTACTAATTGAGATACTGAGCACTGGTATTCCTACTATGAACCACTGCAATGACACTGACACCATATCAGACACAGAAATTGCAGGCTCACGCAATGGCAGGGATAGCCCTCAGCCCTCTGTTTCTGGGGATGAGGACCACTTTGAAGTACCTTGTACAGCATAAGTGAAAATCTAAAGCAGTTTGGGAAGCCTTAATGTGCATCTCTGCTCTGAAAACCCTTCTGTTACAGAACCGCAAGCTCTTCCAGATTATCATATACTGTCTTTTTAATGATATGTTTGCCTTCTAACTCTGGATACACACACACTGAAAGTTGCACACAATTGTGTATTTTTTTTGTTTGTTTGTTTCCATTTTTTAAATTTCATCTTCAATGGTACTGAAAATCAGGAGGAGGGAACTGCCAGCCTCAATGAGACCTATATTTTCATTTGTGTTGGCAGGAAGAGGATTGCATGAGTAAGGTCTGCATTCCACCCTTTTAAGTGAAGTTAGCTATCATGCACTGTGGAAAATTCTTTTTTGATTCCTGTGGAAATCACAGAGTCCTGAAAAATGAGCTTTCATTGCCATTAGCTTGTGCTTAACGTGAGCACTGTTGTTATTGTTCATAAAATAACTGATTTATTCTATGCAAACCATCTTTCTGTGAACTGACATGCTTTTGTTTATATGACTGTCCTCTTACAGGAAAGGATGAGTAGTCATGTAAAAGCAAGCTATTTCAAAGCTGAAATTGGAGAATGGGAAGAATACTTCTTGGAGTCTGGCAATGAACACATTTTTGTAGGCACTATCATTTGCAAGATTTTGCTACAGCTGGTTTTAATTCATTCTGAAATTAAATAACAGGAAAAAATGTAAAAGAAAAGAAAAAAAAAAAACCACCTAGAATTATATAAAGAAACAGAGAAACAAGAGGAGGGAGTGGCACATATATTTCTTTGGTAGATTGTATTATTCTAGGGATGCTGAATCTTTCTGGATATTATTGGCTAAGAGAGATTGACACTGCTGTCTATAAAGCTTCTGAGCAGTCCTTAAAAGGTTGAATCTAATCCAGTGTGTTCACCACTTGCATTGCCTGGTGTTGATCAGAAACTGGAAAGATTGTGGCTATGAAGCCACATGTGTAAATAGTGAAGAAAGGAATGAGGGAATCTGATGATGATTTAGGGTTGAATTACAACAGTCTTTTTTCTTATTACTATTCATACTGACTCCAAGCATGTTACCAGCCATTCTGGAAAGTAATCGTGGGGGAAGGGAAGGAGTCATGTGTTTTTTCTCTAGAAAATTACTCCAAATGTAAGCCTGTAATGAAAGCATGTTTTTATATCTGGTGGGGGTTGCAATATTAAATGCTGTGCAAAATAAAGAATACATTTCCAAAATTTGAGTAGGATTTTTTTACTAGATTTTTTATCACATTTAGCATGTTCTCTGTTCCTTTTTCTAGGCATGCTCTTAGTTGCAAAGCTCTCTAGGACTTTTGTACCAGACTGTCATGGTACGTCATTTGCCTTTTTTTTTTTTTTTTTTTGCTCCTAATATCACTATACTGTTTTATGTTTTCTCTTTTTCCATTTAAATGAAAATCTTTCTGATTTTTTTATCAAGCTTTTTTTTTTTTCATGATTGAAAAATTCTTCAATTTCCCTGACATTTTGCTTTTTATTGCACTGCTTGCTGAATCAAACCAGAGGAAAAGGGAGATGCAGGGGAGCAGTGCTTCATTCTCAGTCATTTATTTATTTATTTATTTACTTATGCCTGACAACAAGATGATGAAAACTACAAATAATGCTGCTTTTGAGATTTTACTGTTTGACATTAAAAAAGACAGTGCTGTAAGTTGCACAAGATTACTAGCTCTTTCTGCACAGTTTAAAGCAGTTCCATTAAGTCTAATACTGAATTTGTGGATGGTAGATCCCATTAATCAGACCATCAAAACTAGTAAATACCATATGCAGCTCTTTTTTTTTTTTTTTTTTCATATATACTTCACTTTCTTCATTTGGCTGAAATACCAACTCTAATGGCATTCCTCATTTTCTGGATTCCATTCAGACAAGCAACTCCCATCCATGCTTCGTATCAACTCATGCTGCTTTTTGCATACACTGGTATCTACACTGTCTGTCTCACTTTTACAAAATGACACTATATTCTTGCCATATACTGAAGCCTAGCTTGTTGGAAACTGTCACCCTGAAACTTCCAAATAAGTGAGTAGCTGCTCCTAGAAGCATTGATGCATTGACTATGAGGTGCACCACCACTAGATATTTTTCAGGTCTACACAAATAGTTAATAGAATTTAATTTTTTTACCTTCTGATACTATGTGAAATCTTTTTACAGATGAACCAGTTTTCATTTTGCAATAAAATTTTGTGTTTTCTACCACTGCAACAATATTGAAGTCTTCAGTGAAAAGACTTCTTTTGTGTTCTTTTTCAGGGGAAAAAATAAGCAAATATACGTAGTACATTTCCTTATTAACACCAGACTAGCTCAA